TATATAGAATAATGATGGGCAATGTGTAGGAAAATATGCCCTCTGAGTTACAACAATGCCTTATCCAGCCTTTCTTTCTTTAACCCAGGCCTTGTGGAGAATTCTTGCCAAAAAACCAGGAGCACAATAAAATCTTTAAAACACACACAGGGGGAGGGGGGAGGAGAGAAATTGCCTTGGTGGGTGGTATACCCTCCATCTTTGAAAGAAATGCTGTAGATGTGCTTTTTTGCACAGCAAGAGGGACTAGATGGCTCTTATGATCTCCGAAAACTCTTATAGTCTTCTAAAACATTCAGGTATTTTGCCCAGAGGAAAGCTGAAAAGATAGTCAAGAGTCAACTTGCTTTTCCCTCTTGCTCCTCTCCAGGTTGAGTGCAGCATAAATAGGTTTTAGGTAAAATAAAGTGGCCCTCGTTTAACCTAGTTATTCCATGGTTGGTACGCAATATAACCCTGGACCCAAAAAGTAAACAGCACTCTGATGGTCTGTATGGCAGGGAGGCCTGAGATTATTAATAAAACATGAACATAATTTCAAACTTTAAAAATTACTGATGTACTCTTAGAGATCTCCCAACTCTTATTTCACAAACTGTATTATTGAAAAGTTCACACCATTTACCAAAATTGGTTACAACTTGTTTAATTGTGCTCTTCTCTTTTGTTGCTTTCCTTGAATAAGTGTTTTTGAAAGTATATTGTTGTTAATGTTCTCTCTTCAAGGCATCTTGGTGTGTCTAAAATGCTCTCCTTTCTTCGGTTGACCTAGATGTTTAACCTCCATCCACTCCAGTCAGCAAGGGCAAAGATCAGGAATGCTAAACATTTTAATCCAAAACACAGGGCACCAGATTGAGGACTATTTGTTTCATCATTTCCATGTACCTTTAACACACAGGTGCTTGAAACATGATTCTTTAGATGTTGTCAGACTGCAGACCTCAGAATACCGGGAGTTGCAATGCAATAACATTTGGAGTTCCAATCTTGTTCTATCAGATCAATAAAATTAGTGACAATGAGCATATAGCACTGGTTAAATCCAGAATGACTATATCTCAACTTGTCTTGACTCTAAAGATGCTTTGTAGGAGGCATGAGGCAAACAAATCAGCATTGCCCTGGACTGTCACTTCTGATAATGGTCCATTTTGCCCTATGCCATGTGCATCCTGTTTCCCGTCTGTCTCCTCTCCATGATTTTACCATCCCTAGGTATTAACAGATAAAACCATCAACAGGTCCCATGCACCTCCTCTCTTCCCTCCCCTTTACATTCCCAAGCTGTCTGTTTTCCTCTTATTTTATATTTCCTGGTTGTTTTTGCTTTTATAGTTTTTTTTCAAGGTGAAGTTGCAGAATTATTCTAAAAATAAAAAGTAAAAAATGGAATAGTGGTAGTGTGGGAAAGCAGGTTTACAAGTTATGACAAAACATAATCTTATCCCATCTGTTCCTATGTAGGATGTAAGAAACTGTAGTGGCTATAATGATGCATGATTTAGTTGCATCTTGTTTGTGTTACTATAACAATTTCTAAAAAGTGATTTTTTTCATTCATTTATTTATTCTAACATGGTTCTCAAGGCGGCTTACAACAAAGTGCTTTTAAAAACATCCATTGGCCCTAAGCCAGACTGATAATTGGGGCTGTCTACTGTTAATAGAGCATAACTCCCTTCCTGTAGCAGCTCCACCTGCAATTCAAAGTACTGTTTATGACCTATAAAGGTCTATATGGTTCAGGTAGAGGTATCTGAAGTACTTTATTCTCCTACACAAGTCTACCTGATTTTAGCAAATTTCAGGGGAGGACCTTCTCTGTCCCATCATCATCCCAGTGCCTTTAATGGGAACATTGGAAAGCATCTTCTTGGTGGCTGCCTCAAGGTTGTGGAATTGTTAGAAAGATAATATTTCTACCTTCCTTGCTATCTTTCCACAGGCAGATGAAGCCTTTTTAAAGGTGTCAGCAGTCCTTTGTATATATTGGCAACTATGGCTGGTACATTTAGAAGTTAAACGCCTTGTCTTAATGTAGCACCACATCTGAAATAGATCCTTCTTGCCCATCTTTGCTTGTTCATTTAATAAACAATTTTGTTTTGATGGTTATGTACCATAGCCTCACATTCTATGGAGTGAATTTAGCTACACATGCTTAAGCATTAAGGCAGAAGCAAGAAACATGGAACATAGCTTTTGGCTTTTCTTATTTTTAAATTACAAGGTAGTTCATGGGAAGCAAATCCTCCTTCTAGAGAATGCACATTCCTCCCAAATCTGATGAAAATTTGGACATGTGATGCCAAGCAATATCAAAACATGGTCAAGATGGCAGCAGTTAAAAAAAAAAACCCAAAAGAACGGAGAAGGCAGGAGAGATTACAATAGTTAACTTTTCCCTGAATCTACTAGGAAGGGCAAGACCATTGGTAATGACTGCTTAATGAGTTGAGTATGAAACACTTTTGTATTCTGAAGTTAGTTTGTAATAACTGAGATATACTGCGGAACAGGGGATAAAGCGGACATTTCCAAAGTAGGTAAGAAGTGGTTCAACAGATGATTAAATGGTTCAGGTCCAGGCTATTTGCCTAACCGCATTTCCCTATATAAACCATCATGTGCACTGCAGTCAGCGGAGGAGGCCCTGCTCCTGGTGGTACTGAGAGGGAGCCTTTTCCGTGATAGCTCCCCATCTCTGGAACTCCATTCCAAAAAAATAAAAATAAAAATTGCCCTCGCCCTCTTCTCCTTAAAAAAAAAAAGTTCTGAAAACACACTTATGTATCTTAGCATACGGAAAGGAGGACTACCACTTGACAGGATTCCTTGGGTGTTTGGTGTTTGGGGAGGACATTGCAGGGGTTGGGTTACATGTTCATGGAGCTTGCTCTAACCTGCAATGTCAGTGGAGGGAATGCCTTTGGAGGCTTTTCAGAACTTGGAACTATAGCCTGTTTGTGGAGGCCAGAGACTGTCTGTGTAAGTAGATAGCTCTGCCACATACACACATTTTCACTTTTATTATGTGTATAGATATAGATATGTATTTCTCATTATGCTAACTTTAATTCTTTTTGGTAATAAGTTCATTAATATTTTTTATTTTTCATTACGTGATTTTTAGCATGGCATTGAATGTTTGCCCGTTTTATATGTATGTAAACCGCCCCGAGTCCCTACCAGGAGAGAGGGTGGTCTAGAAATGATAAACAACAATAATAAATCAAGTCTGTCCCTTCCAAATTGGAAGAGTTGTTGGAGGGTATAAAGTTCTCCATTCAGATACTTTGTCCAGGCTGATTGTAACGTTATCTTCCGCAAAGAGATAGTATACAGCAGCACTGTATCCGTATAAAATCAGACTATTACTGGCCCAGGTATTGACTATCAGATTGGCACCAGACCTCCAAAACATTTCCCATCCACACCCATGATACTTAAAACACAAGATATCAGGGATTGAATGTATGCCTTATATATGTTGTCTCCCAAGTTATGGCTCTCCCATACAGATGAGCTTGTTTCATCCCTGGAGCTGTCTTGTAAATTCTATTCAGGTTAATCTGCTGTATCTTTCTTGTACAAAGGAGGCATTTTTCACTAATTTTACAAGTTTGATAATCATGGCAAATTAGTTTTTGTTATTCCAAATAGAAGAGGGGGACAACTTTTTGTCTATGTAGCAGGACTTGGTTCCTTTAGCACAGTGGTTCTCAACCTGTGAGTCCCCAGGTATTTTGGTCTACAACTCCCAGAAATTCCAGTTGAGAACCATTGCTTTAGCATTTATTTCAATCTCAATGTTCTAGCCTTCACTTAGTAGTAATTCTTAAATAGTGAGTGTGCAAATTATCTAGTAACTGCTCCAGACTGCAAGAATGCACACATATTAATGTTCCTTGCTACAGATAATTCACGTTGAAATAAGTTGGTTAATCACAAGACTCCTGCCCCCCCTTTTTTTTGCTACTGACTGCTTTCCAGTCATCCAAAGTGCTATATCCCACAAATACTTATGCTGAAATAAATGTTAGTTTTGAAAGATGTTACAACATCTCTTTCCCCATCTTTTAAGACTGAAAATAGATAAGCACAGCTTTTTGGTAGTTGGCCAAGCTGATGTGCCACCATCAAGTGATGTTTTGCAGTGATTGTGTCTTCCTAACACTGACAAGGAAACCCCCTAGGATTTTTCCACATTATACCATTACAGTACTCTGCTTCTATGTTAAGGAGAAAACTATCCATTTAGGGAGGCCTATTTACCATTTGCTCCCAGAGAGCTCTAGTGTGCCCCCCCCCCCCGGCAAAAAAAATCCCAAGTGGAATCAGTGTGCTATAATGGGATAGTGGGAAAGAGCCCTTGGGTTGGTAGGAAAATATGAGTGTGTTAAATGAAGGACAGTGAGTCCATTCATGCTACACAATCTAGCACTACAATCCCATATTTACAGCCATGGCTACATCCTATAGAATCCTTAGATTGGTAGGGTAATACTCTTCCGTAAACTGAGAATAACATATCTTATGAGTGAGATAGCAGGTATTATTAAAATAGAGTTGAATAGGCCCATTATCACAGACAAGCTGAATCTGTCATTCTTATTTTACACCAACATACTTGGAACCATGGCAATTAAAATGGGCTTACACTGTAACTGTGTAGTTAACGATTGCTCCACTGCAGAATTCTATAAAAAAAAAGCAGAGCAATTGTGTAACGGAAGCCTTATTCACAAGAACTTTATGATTCTGCGCTGTTGGCTAGGAGAAACAGGTATATATTCTAGTTAAGCAGGTATAGCCCCAATTACTTCTCTAGAGTAAATATACCATGCTCCAATACTGCTTCTACCAGGGTGTGCCTCTTTCAAAGAGTGGCTTGGTGAATATTACCAGATAGCACCAGCGGAACCTGAAAATCTGCCTTGAGGAATAATCCTCAATGAAGTGTGATTGCGAGCCCAGCCCAACAAATGATGTTGCGGTTTTTCCCATCTCAAAGTGAACTTTTATTGAATAACCACAATTGCTTAGTATACAAAGGTGCTTTGGAGTTGATGTGCCAACAACTCAGGTTTTTTTTTTTAAGAAAGCCACTGCAATCATGTCAGACTTTTCTCCCTGAACCAAGTGCTGTCTTCTGTTCCAGAATCCTGTGGACTTCATGCTTTCTCATAGACTCTAGTGGAGACAACGCCGTTTGCTGCACATTCCTAGGAGGGAAAACACAAAAGAGTTGGTATATGACCAGGGCCGTAGCCAGAAAAAAATTTCGGGGAGGGTTGACAATTTGGGGGGGGGGGTTGAAAATTTCGGGGAGGGTTGAAAATTTTGATGGGTGGGGTTGAAACCTGTCTCCTAGCTCACGCTGAAACAAAGAGCACAGCAGGGGGCAGAGCAACCTTCAATAGCCTGCAGGTCCGCCCCTGTCAACCACCTCCACCAAGTCTGGCCTCCTTAATGAGAGCATTCAACACACAGACACCCAACTTGGTTGCTTCACTACATCGGCTATTGCTGCAAGTAATGACAGTGTGAATAAATTGTCAATATTTTCTTGAGATAGTACTTACAGTTCTGGAGGGACTCTTAATTTTTTGCATCTCATAGACTTAGCATGGGGATTTGGTTAACCAGTTAAAATTCATGAGTAAACCAGGTTTTTTAAAAAAAATCTGAAACATTTCGGGGGGGGGATTGAACCCCTAAAACCACCCCCTCACTACAGGCCTGTATATGACCAATACTCTGTACTTTCATATCAGTGTATGAGCAGAATTCTGCAGCTTCCTATTAGATGGTCTCCTGTGCAAAATCCCTGAAATGTTTAGTGATCTAGATGTCCTAACTTCCCCTCCTTTTAGATACACCCACAATTTCTTGGTATACTTTTGCACTGTGCAGTCATATATATGTGGCTGGGGACAAGGCAACTGGTCAGGGTAAATAGCATGATTTGCACTGCACTGTATTGATGATTTGTTCTTACTGGTCCCAAGTACAATGAAGGACATGACTTTAGTGTCCCTGAAGATTATGCCTTTGGAGTCAAGAACTCTGTTCTGCATGGTAACAATGGTGACACAAATGAACCTGGATGATAGTTTGCAAATCTGAAAAAATACAAACTGATGAGTGAAGCCAGAGCCAACTCTGATCAGTATGTGTTTTCAATATCTTACCTTTTTATGGCCATCAAGCTAGTGACCCTGCTACCAACACTGACTATGGCAATGACCCCAGGCCTTACTGATTTAACAACAAATGGAATGTGCCAAAAATGGACTCTCAGAAGTAGCACCCATTGTTTGAAAACTCCTTCCCAAACTTTGGTATGCTGAGTGTTTTTGGATTTCAGTTCCCAGAAGTTCAAGCCAGCTTGGCCAAAAGCTAGGAATTCTGGGAACCAAAGTCTAAAACACTTGGAGGACCAAAGTTTGAGAAGTACTATTCTACATGCAGTTCAGAATAGGGCTGGGCGGTTTCGTTCGTTAATTTCGTAATTTGTTAAAAATTCGTTATTTTTTTTGATAACGAAGCGATAATGAACCATTCAGGAGCAACTAAAAATCAAAACAAATTTTTCAATTCGTTTCATAATTGTTTCGGATTCGTTTTGTATTCGTTTCGTTATCGTTTCGAAATCGTTTCGTTATTATTTCCGCATGTCTGGGGCAAGTTTTATAGTTGTTGTTTGTTTAATCAGTGAAAAAAAATATAAATATCACACCAACAGTCAACAACAGAGGGAGAGGGAAGCTTCAGAAGTTCCCCCTGTCCCATTTGGAGGTTTTTTAGCGTATTGCGCGGTCGCGTCCGCCATTAACGAATCGATTCGTAATTGTTTCGTAATTTCCGAAATTTCGCAAATATCGAACTTTTTAAAAGAAAAATTTCGGAATTCTTTTAAAAATCGAAACGCAAAACCCCCCCAAAAAACGAATCAAGTTTAGAAACAAATTTTTCCGTGGTTGCCCAGCCCTAGTTCAGAAGGCAGACTATGAGTAGATACTTACTTGCATATGCTTTTCATTTTTTGTAACAATCATTGTGATTCTGCTTTTTTCTATACCTTTTTAAATATCTGTATCTATCTGTCTCCCACCTTTCTCCCAATATGGGATCAAAGGCAACTTAAAACAAGATGAAGCAAAAAAAAAATGACTAAAAATTTTAACGCACAATGAAACAAGCTATCGTATAAAAATGCCATTGGTATGAAAAAATACAGTATCATTTCAAAACATAATAACGTAACACTACAGAAATTACTGTTTATTATTTATATTGCAATATATCTTTTGGTATCTTTCAAAAATATTTGGGTGGTGGTTTTTATAGTATTTTTATGTAACTTAGAGATATATGATAAAATAGCATATAACTATAATAATATATATTCTCCAAATATTAGGGTTTCCTTCTGAGGATGCTTGCAATAGTTGTGGGCGAAATGTCAGGAGAGAATGCTATCAGAACATGGCCATACAACCCAGAAAACTCACAGCAACCTAGTGATTCTGGCCATGAAAGCCTTCGGCAACACAATATCTTCATTTATAAAAGAAGATAAACACATCTTTTTGGCTAGTGCAATAACACCAATTTAGCACACAAGGGAAAAAAGCTAGGCCCTCAAGGGACAGTACTCCTCTCTCTCAATGTTGGCAGCATAAAAGGATCACTTAATCCTACTACTTGGATCCCCTCTTAAATTTTGCACTACACCCACAGCTGGCATTTCCACACACGTCTGTGCATGTCGCGTTCTTGAGAAGTCTGAATGAATCCAACCAACAAAAGAAGCCTAAAAAACATGGAGGTAGGCACTTCTGTCTCCACAAAAAGTACTCATGTCCAATATCAACTGCCTTTTTCTACATTGGGAGAGTGTATTCTAGTAGCCAAACTAGATGATTTTCCATGCAATCTTGTATTCTAAAGTGGCTATCTTTAGTACATAAATGGGAAAGATGGGGCTCCTCAAATGTTGTTTGACTGTCACACATGTCTCCACTGTCTATAGTGGTTATAGCTGGTGGGAGATGCAATAACTGGGTGGCTACATTTTCCCTGTCCTCGCTTTACTCAGAAAGCCATTCTCAGTTTGTTTAGATCAATTTAAGAGCCGTGGAAATAATGTCTGGGAACCATGCAGATAGCATCCACAAGAGATGCTCCAGTGCCTAGGGTTAGGGAGGATCTGTGACTCATAAATGCATTACTCTCTCAAAACTCCCAATTATTTTTCATCAGCCCGTGTATTACATTTCTGTTTGAAATCATTGCTCTGCCCTTGCAAATGGATAATAGACATTCTGAATAATAAGGGTATAGCCACAGTTAAGCGTATTTACAGTGCCCTGCTTTTAGATGAATATCCATGTACAATATTGCTGTGCCAATGGAATTTAAGGCCATGCCTGAAAGCCTTAAAATTCACATGAGACCTTATTCAATTTAAAATCGGTTCCAAAGACATTTTTGGCACAACTTCTACATTTCAGATTCAAATTAAAGGGTTGCTGTGTACCTTCAAACCTATGTTGAACCAATCACATGGTTTTCTAAGACCAAGAGCATGTTACTTGTCCATGATCACCTTGTGGGTTTTCATGGCCAAGCAGATTTGCACATTGGTTTCCAGAATTGTACGATCAGTTGGCCATCCACCTCCCTCCTTGGCTATTCCAATATTATTTGATAACCTTCTCCAATGCTGACATATCTTCCCTTAGGTTTAGTTACAATGCTAGCTTGATTCGGCTTCATCACCACTGATATTCAGTTCCCCAGCATTTTTCAAATTTACGACAGCCCTTGAGCTGAGAGAAGTTATAGATCTTTGATTTGGTTTGAATGAAACCATGTAACTATATTGATCAGCATGGGCTTTGTCACCTTCCACATTTGCAAATGTCTACACACATTAAAAAAGTGAACTCACCAAAATCAACTTTCCATCATTTATTTTCCTTTTCAGTGTGGTCTCTTTGCCATCCCATTTCTGCAAGTGGACCAGCACACCGTCCTCTAATGTCACAAGACTCTGCCAAAAAAGAGCAATCGGGTTAATTTAGTCCAACCTAGGAATAAATAACTCCTGCAGAAGCCCAAGGGTCAAGTCACTAAAGTAGGGAAAGCCATAAAAAAAAAAAAGAAAAAGAAAAATCCAGATTGTTCCACATTTGAAAAGTAAATTATGTTTGACTTCTGTAGCACTCAGTTTATAAAATATAGAATAAAGCCTGAAAGAAAAGAAACTTGTAGTAGACTAGCTTTCCCCAAATAGGCACCCGCTATATTTTCTGAGCTACAACTCCTATTCCTGGACAGGCCAGTAGCGAGGGGGGGGGGGGGGGGGGTAGGGGTTCAACCCCCCCCCCAAATTTTTCAGGTTAAAAAAAATAAACCTGGTTTACTCATGAATTTTAACTGGTTAACCAAATCCCCATGCTAAGTCTATGAGACACAAAAAATTAAGAGTCCTTCCAGAACAGCAAACACTATCTCAAGCAAATATCGACAATTTATTCACACTGTCATTACTTGCAGCAATAGCTGATGTAGCGAAGCAACCAAGTTTGGGGGGGGGGGGGGGGGGGGGGCGGCTGACACAGACAGCAAAACGAACCCCACAGGAGTGTTAACTTTTCCCTATGCTATCCAAAGTGTGCTCTCTCTCTGTGTGTGTGTGTTTATATATCTGGAGTCACACTTTAAAATGTACATGTTCTGACTTAGGGCCCTTCCACACAGCCATATAACCCAGAATATCAAGCCAGATGATCCACAATATCTGCTTGAACAGAATTATCTGAGTTCACACTGCCATATAATCCAGCTCAATATGAATTTTATACAGCTGTATGGAAGGGGCCTTACAAGCAAATTCAACTAAAAAACAAGCCTTATTCCGAACTTGTGGGCTGCCTGTATAATAATATTGTCCTGACCAGGATTATACTATGGAGAATTGTGAAGGGTAGATGGCGAGTGTTGTGTGATTTTGGAAGCTAAGCAGGGTCAGCCCTAGTTAGCACTTAGACGGGAGGCCTTCAAAGTGGTGCAGGTTGTATTTCAGAGGAAGAAACCGGGCAAACTGCCTCTGAATATTACTTGCCTAAGAAAATCATATGCAAGTCATGGGGTCACCATAAGTTAAGAGATGACTTGAAGGCATATATACACAGACAACAAGATCTACACATTTCAAGAAACCAAATATTTTGATGTCATATCTTCAATCCAGATCAAATAGGTGCTTTCCACCTTGCTATTTATATACCCCCAATGTCAGTCTTTCTCATATTGATCAGGGGCCCTTTTAAGTTATACAATTGTGCCATAACACTTCAATGGCTATGGCTGGAACCAATGGAATCCTAGAGTTTAGAAAGGCACTAGAATCCCCCAGCTGAAAATTTAAACAACTGCTCCCTACACTTTCATAGGACAGAACCATGTCAGTTATAGTGGGATCACATTGTTAGAACTCTATATTGGAAAAGAGGCCCAGGTACTTTGAGGTAACTTCCTATGTGACACATTTAAATGAAAGTATTATCCTGAATGTTATCCTAACATGATCCAATTGGAAATAAAATGCAAGATTTAAAAATGACCATACCTTTACTTTCCTGTCATCTGCTGTGGTTTCATCAAATTCTTCCCCCAGTTTGAAAGAAAGCTCTGTGTTCTTGAAACTGCTCTCTGTTCTGATGGTTATGACATCCCCGTTGCATTTGATGATGACATTGGGTTTGGCGACACCAGCTATCTTCCTTGTGGCATAGCCCACACCTTGAAGCCAAAACAGAAATTATTAGGCTGTCTCATGCAGTTACTTGAAGCTGTTGGGCCTTAAACGATCACCAGGGACCCACTGAATTACAATGGGCATAGTGTCACAAGCCTGGACCATTAGGAGTTATGGGAGTTAAAGTCCAAAACAACTGGAGGGCTGAAGTTTGCCCATGCCTGGTATACACAATAGAGCAAGAGTGGGTAGGAACTGAAGCCCACTGTTGGATAGGAGATGTTGAATCCTAATACCCATAATTTCTCCTCCAGCTATTCAACAGACTTTTCCAACTAATATACTATCATAGCTTCTTTCCAAAAAAACTTCCCAATGACTGATGGCTCATGGACTGATACTAACCCACCGACAACCACTTTGGTTAGCACTGCTTTAAGGATGATCCTGGAATTGAAGTGTAGCAAATATAGCTCTGTCTTCCAACGTGGGAAAATCTCCAATGGGCTCAGTATAAATATTGGAGCCCATGGATCCTCCACATCTTTTGTAATACAACTTTACATTATTAAGGTGGTGGCATTCACATTGTATAGTAACAAACCCCATAGTTAATCTAGTCCAAGACCTCCTTAATCAGTCTTGAAAACACACAGGATTACTCTAATGTATCTAACACCATTGTTACAGGAATAAAATGGAAGGGATTGCAATTGACACTGCCTTGAGTTCACGTAAGAAAGGTGGAGGATAAATGTGTAACTACTAAACAAACATACATCAATCTTCTTTCCCATGGCATGATTTTAAAGCAAGGGGGTTGTCAGTTTCCTACAGTGGAATTCCTTGCCTCAGGAGGTTGTTCACCTTCTGGTTTCCTTGTATTTAGTTAGCAATTGAAGACATCCCTTTACACAACCCTTTGACTCGATTGCTTGGTTTTACTTTACCAAGCAGTACCTTTTGCAGCTTGCCTTTTCTGTGGCTCTTATTCAGTCCTGCATACATATTGTTGATTGATTGTATTTTCATGTTTTATAGTTTTGTAATCAACTTTGAAACAATATTCCTTTTTGTAAATAAGCACTAGATCAGTGGTTCCATACCTTTTTTTTTTTTAACCAGGAACCACAATCCAACATTAGTACCAAAAGGGTTACGAATCGGTTTTTGGTCAACTTGAGATTCAGTTTGATTATTTGGGGTGCTGATTCAGAAAATTGCATTGGCTAGACCACATCAGTTCTAATTTCCGATCCAGAACATATGCCATCCAGTAGTCGCCATCTGCTTGCTCACAAAAAACCATATTTAATAAGCCTCAGCACTATAAGACAGTTTCGCAAGAGCAGTCACTCTCATTGTAATGGTGAGGCCACGGACCATATTTTAGTTCTTGCAGACCACTGGTGGTCCACGGACCACAGGTTGAGAACCACTGTATTAGATGAACCAAATTTCCTGCTTTATATAAAACTGACAGAGTCAGGACATGCCACTGTAAAATTGTTTGACCCAAGACCATTTGTAATGACTTGTCTCTACCAGCCTTCGTTCCCTTGAGCTTTAGTGGTTACTGTATTTTAAACTGTAATCAAGAGAATAAACTCTAACCACTACTAATTTCATGACTCAGTGAATCCTATTTGCTGTACTAGTCAAGTGAATGGGACTGCTCTGTAATAAGGAGGTTGTGCTCACAGTCACTATGGTAAACCTAATTAAGCGTATTAATGCAAGTTGTAATTAACTAGACATGGGATTACATGAGAAGCACTTTACAACTATGACCAATAATAGCATATCTTTGAGATGGAAAGTTACTATATTGTTGCATAAGTGGCCTAGCAATATGGTACCAACACTTGGAAATGCAGTTACGCTCAGTGACCATTTAGCAGAGTAGTGAATGCTTTGGAAGCTGCCTTACAGAAGATGAAGCTATTTGCTCATTTAAAAGCACTATGGTCTACTCTGGTAGGTAACAGCTCTCTACCATCGCAGTTCAAGCTCTTCCTCCATGTCTGATACTAGGCACCATATCAATTAGGAGTTGCCACCAATTCAAGGCAGAACTTGCTTGACCACCAACAAAATCCCTCTACAATAGCGTTTCTCAAGCTGGGGGTCGGGACCCCTGGGGGCATCACAAGCGAGTATCCAAGGGATTGCCAACGACCATTAGAAAACACAGTATTTGCTCTTGGTCAAGGGGGTTCTGTGTGGGAAGTTTGGCCCAATTCTATCATTGGTGGAGTTCAGAATGCTCCTTGATTGTAGGTGAACGATAAATCCCAGCAACTACAATTCCCAAATGTCAAGATCTATTCTCCCCAAGCTCCACCAGTGTTCACATTTGGGTATGTTGAGTATCTGTGCCAAGTTTGGTCCAGATCAATTGTTGTTTGAGTTCTGTATGCAAAATTTGGTTCAATTCCATCGTTGGTGGAGTTCAGAATGCTCTTTGATTGTAGGTGAATTATACATCCCAGCAACTACAACTTCCAAATGACAAAATCAATTCCCCTTCCCAACCCCACCAGTATTCAAACTTGGCTGTACTAAGTATTTGTGCTAAATTTGGTTCAGTGAATGAAAATACATCCTGTATATCAAATATTTACATTACAATTCATAACACTAGCAAAATTACAGTTATGAAGTAGCAATGAAAATAATGTTATGGTTGGGGGTCACCACAACATGAGGAACTGTATTAAGGGGTCGCGGCATTAGGAAGGCTGAGAAACACTGCTCTATAAATTAAAATTGCACACTGATAAATGTGGATTTTCTTCTCAGTTCAGATTTTCCCTTACTGCAAAATTTCTTGATTACACACCAGATGTGTATGTCAATGCTGGAAGGGACAATGGAAAAACACTTTATTTCACAACTACAGGAAAATATATTAAATTCAAAATTATGAATAAACAAAAGTTCAACTGTAAACTCAACCCTATGAAAGAGTTCAAAACTAAAATTCCACACATTTACATGCATGCTAGATGCATTTTTAAAAGGGTGGGCATGGTCATTATCCAACATCTCTCACCTCCATGAATTGAAAGCTGACAACCTATGACAGAAGGAGTCACGTCTGTATGGCTTGCTCATTTTTGGGTTGACTACAAGTCATTGTGGATTTTGAAGTTCTTCTAATAAACCAACACAACTCACTATCTTTTCTGTTGTCTCTTTCAATATCCTTGGAGCCATTTCAAACAGATAAATAATAATAGCAGCCTGCACTCCACATTTCCCTATAAATTAAATGACTGAGATGGAATTTCCATCACTTTCTTTTAAGACTCAATCTTTAAATAGTAAATCCAAGCTTTACTTTTCACTTCCAACCCCTGCACAACCTATTGCCTAATGTATAAATAGGTTAAGCAGCAAGAAATATTCAGTACAAAACCAAATTAAATTTGTTAACAACCCATGCTCCACTGAGTTCAACAGAGTTTTCTACCAAATAGCAATATTTTGGGAAAGCAGTCAAAATTAGAAAATAACAGGGACATACTTAACAGACAAATATGTCACTACACTGGAATCCTAGCAGATATAATTCAAACGGCAGTACTCCACCCTACACCTGCAACTGCTTACAAGCAGGACAGTCAACTTAAAAGCTTACAATACAGTAGTTGCATTTACCAAAAAAAGTTCAGTTTGTGATTTAACAAATTTAGCAAATATATTTAAATTGAAACTGAATTTGTGTTGGGAGGGTAAAAAGAGAGTACAATTGTTAGTTTTATTTTATCTTTTTTTCTTAATAAAAACACTGAAAAAGTTAAAATTTATTCCAAACAATCATGAAAAATGTTCTTTCTTACCAACTTCTTTCATGTAGTCCTCAAATTTCTCACTGGAAACCAACTTCCAAGTTCCCAAAAACTGTTCAACCATTGTGCTGGATTTTGCTCTCTGAAAGGAGTTCCTAAAAATCTCACAGAGAGAACATCCACGAAGCCCTATAATGACTTTAAAAAGAAGCTCTTCCCATGTGACTCTGTGGGATTAGCCAATAGAAACTGGGGCTGTCAGGCACTCCAATTACCTGATTTATTCCTCCTTCTGTGTAGGTCATTGTGCAATTAGTCATCACACACTTCTTGCAGCATTGAATGGTCAGCATTTCATTATTTTGCTTAAAGCGCCTGGATGATTTCTGCGGCTGCTCTTTTTTTTTCTCCCAATGCTCTTCGTCTGGCAGGAAACTTAATTAAACCACAGACTTCACATAACCAAGCATACGGCAGTATTGTCAGCACATATTTAGTATTAGTAACAATGATCTTTTGCCCCATTTGCATCCACCCAAACTCTATGAAATGCTCAGAATCATGAATGGTGCAAGTCTGTGTTTATTTACTCAGAACTAAATCCCCCTGTAACCAATGAGATACCTTCCCATGTAAATATGCATAGGATTATAGTTGAAAGCAATTAGGTTTCTGTCTCTACACATGAAATGAAAGTCAAACAGTCCTTTAGTTCCCTAGAAGTGTAGTCAGAAATAAAAGAGGGAAGCACTTTTAATAGCAGTGGAAAAGAGGGAATTTCAACATGAGTTGCTTGCATGCCTATCATTATTTTATTTATTTATTTACTATATTTATACCTCGTCCTCTTTCACCCCAAAGGGGACTCAGAGCAGCTTACAAACTGGCAGCAATTCAATGCCATATAAACAAACATATAAAAACAATATATTAAAAACCATAAAAGTATATATATATATATATATATATATATATATATATATATATATATATGCATTAAAAACCAATTATTAAAACCAAACAAATCCAAAGTCATAGTCCAGGAGCCATTTCAATCGTGTTGCACTCATTTCATATCCACTTAGTGTACTGAATTACTCTCCAAAGGCTTGGTCCCACAGCCAAGTTTTTAATTTTTTTTCTAAAGGTCAGGAGCAAGGGGGCTGATCTGATTTCAGTGGGAAGAGAATTCTATAGCTGAGAGGCCACCACTGAGAAGGCCCTGTCTCTCATCCCCACCAATCGTGTCTGTGAAGGAGGTGGGACTGAGAGCAGGGCCTCCCTAGAAGATCTTAACCTCCGAGGTGGTTCATAAAGGAAGATAGATTCAGACAAGTAAGCTGGACCAGAACCATTTAGGGCTTTGTAGGCTAAAGCCAGCACTTTAATTGTGCTCAGTAGCAGACTGGCAGCCAGTGGAGCTGGCGTAACAGGGGGGTTGTGTGCTCCCTGTGCTCCTCTCTGGTGAGGAATCCGGCTGCCACCTGTCAGACCACTTACTTGAAGCTTCCAAACAGTCTTCAAAGACAAACACACATAGAGTGCATTGCAGTAGTCTATTTGGGGTGCTTTGAATACAATTTTCCTGCTTTTTGGCAGGGGGTTGGACTGGATGGCCCATGAGGTCTCTTCCAACTCAGTGATTCTATGTAACTAGAGCATGGACCACTGTGGCCAAGTCTGGCTTTCCAAGATATGGGTGCAACTGGCGCACAAGTTTTAATTGCGCAAAAGCTCCCCTGGCCACCACCGAGACCTGGGATTCCATGCTCAGTGATGAATCCAGGATCACTCCCAAGCTGTGAACCTGCACCTTCAGGGGGAGTGTAACTCTATCTAGTACAGGCTGTAACCCTAGACCCTATTCAGCCTTTCGACTGACCAGGAGTACCTCTATCTTGTCTGAATTCAATTTCAATTTGTTCGCTCTCTTCCAAATCGCCACAGTTGCCAACCACTGGTTCAGGATCTGAACAACATCATTTGTTCCCGTTGCAAAACTTAGGGTTTGACAAGACATTAAAAAGAACTAGTCTGGTGGGTATACATAATGCGTAACAGACCAATCCTGAAATACAGGGTTATTATATAACTAACTATAGTAACAGCAATGATAAGACTTTGGTCTACAAGTATTTGCACATACGTACATAATGAGATATCTTGGAAGTGGGACCCAGATCTAAACATGAAAATGATGTTATATGTACACTTTATACATATGGACTAAAGATAGTTTTATACACAATATTTTAAAGAATTTGATGCACATGATTACCATGATCACCATCTCAGCCACACATCTGGGCAATTTTGGAGTATTTTGGATTTTGGGATTATAGATAAGGAATGTTCAACCTGTATAATTAATTTAACTGTTTTATTTAATTGTCTATAATTTGTGACTATTTATAAGAGGAAGTTTTAAGACAGTTTTTAAATGTGTTTTCGTCATGTATTAATTCTTTAAAATGTTTTCACCCATTGTAATCACTGCAGGAGTTCTGGTGGGCTCAATGGCAATAGACAAATGCCTTAAAGAAACAGGAACAAATTGCTAAAGGAAAGCTTTGGTACTCTTCAGATGCTTCAACAGCTGATAATGAAGCAAAACTTGTCTTAAGGGACATTTCCTCCATCTTGACCATTGTGAGAACTACATTTTCCACACATACCATGCAAGGATGTCATCAGAACTTTGGAGTCAAGATGAAAAAATGTTTTGGCAATGTTTCACTAAGTATTATAAAGTGTTTCTTGTAAATAGGCAGATGCAATGCCTTGTTTTAATGAAGGGGGATCTCAAAATAATAGGTTTAGAAGCATGCAGGAAGTTTTCTCTTTTTGTGGTTCAGTCTAATGTACAGATTTACACTACTGTAATTATCCTGAACAATCCATGCCAAAACTGGAACAAATTCAACACTGTTGGTGAAGTAGCTGCCTTAGATGTTTCCACACCTGTATGGGTTGAAACGCCAATGCTGTTAACAAAGACCAATATTTGCTAAGATATTACCATGTTGCTCTATTGCCAAAGATCTTTGGGTGGGGAACAGTCATTAAAAACATTCAAGATGATGTAAAACAATACAGTGTTATCAAAATAACCATCAGTCTAACATTTGTCATGAATGATTCAAACATGGAGAAACTGTTTTGGGCATATTTCACAGTGTCATTTCAAAACTTCATTTGTCTAAACCAGAACCATCATGACAAAACCTTCCTTGAAGGCACTTATTTGTTAGTTTAGGTGACTGAAGTCTGGGGTAAGGCTGATCAGGGATATATCATCAAACTTCGAACTGCTGAGTTGGCAGAAGCTGGGGCTAACGCAGGAGTTCACCCCGCTCCCCGAATTCAGACCGCTGACCTCAGAGGCAGCCCTAGGTAATTTTCAAGTGCAAGCAAACAGTATTTTGGTGCCCCTCCCCCCAACCAATCACTGATATATATTTTCTGTTCATCGTGGGAGTTCTGTGTGCCGTATTTGGTTCAATTCCATCATTGGTGGAGTTCAGAATGCTCTTTGATTTTAGGTGAACTACACATCCCAGTAACTACAACTCGCATATGTCAAGGTCTATTTTTCCCCAAGAGCGCCTCAAGAGCGCCCCTGGGCAAAATAATGCTTGCTTTGTGTAATGGGTTGAGCCGCCCCTGGCTGACCTTTTGGTCAGTAAGTTCAGTAGCTCAGTGCTTTAACCTGCTGCTCCACCAGGGCTCCACCAGGGCTCATCTACACTGCCTTATAATGCAGTTTGAAACAGTGTAGACTCATATAATGCAGTTAATCAAACGGTATTAAACAAACTGTATTATATGAGTCTACACTGACCATATGATTAAATTTCAAACTGACAGTTTAGATGGGGCCTTATTCAAAATTACCCTGTGGGCAGGCCCGTAGCCAGGATTTTGTTTCAGGGGGTGCTGAGTTTGATTGGGGGGGGGGGGCTGAGTTTGGTTCAAAGGGGAGGGGCTGAGGATCTACCCTAGCAAACCTTTTGTATCATTATCCCAATACCCCATGCATATGGGATATATTGAGCATGGTGATCAGATCATGATATGAATAAACATAACAGTTTAAATAATGTACCAGTAAGGCCTTCTCGCGGACCACCCTGAGAATTTCGGGGGGGGGGGGGGGAAGCCCCCCCCCCCCCCCCGGCTACATGCCTGCCTGTGGGTTTCTATGGCTAAGCAGGGATGTGAATCCTGTTCTCCCACAACTCTGTTCAGTACTCAAAACACCATACTACGCTGGCTCTATTGTCTTCCGAACATTGCAGGAAATGTGATTGTTGTTGTTGTCATCACTGTCATCCTCATCCAGCAGAAAACTAAACAACAGTAATTTGCTATATGAAAAATAGCCCTATGGCAGAATAAATAATAAATCCAGGTAAGATAGTAGCGTCCCCAAATAGGCAATCCAGAACAGCCTCAACTTGCATTTTAGCTTGCGTGGCAAGATCCAGCTAATAGCTGTATAATTATTCATTCATAGCTGTGAGAATTTCAATGGATTGTGCTAGTATGTATATGTTCAGTGGTCAGACCTTTGTGTCCATTATAGGACTACCGTATCTTTAACAACTAAGTAAGATGCAGGATATCAACAGATGTAACATTATATACAAGTTATAGGTGCTGAAATGCCCTCTGTCAAATTCTTATTAATGGTGCAGGAACTTTTTTGCTATGGCCACTTTTCTCTTTTGCCTGATATTTTAAAAATTAAAAATGCATCGTCTGTGTAATTTGATGCCTGAGTTCGTCTGTTTGTGTGTTTTGCTCTATTTACATATTGAATTGAGAAAAATGTGTTATCTTGCTATAATTGAGTAGGAGAAATATAACTTTAACACAAAACAGCAAAACAGCAAAATAGCCTAAGAGAAGTATCATATCCACGAACCTTTCTCTCATTTTCAAAAGGAAATGATCCATCTGAACTTTGTTCCTTCATTCCTCTTCCCTCCCACCAACCCTACTCTGCTTTTCTGCCTCTTCCCTCTGACTCTTGCTTATCTTTTTTCCCTTTTTTGTTAGAAGGGAAATGAGATCTCTGTTATACAGCTGTGCTGTTATAGGGGGAAATTATCCTATTATTCTTCATGGCAAACAGCTCCTGTTAATGTGGCCCTTGGGACATAAAAAGCTTGAACAGGAATGAGG